TGGCCGATTGCAACTACACATGATGCTAACCTATAAAATCTTAACTAGGAGGTGTCCCTCACACCTCCTTGATAAATTTATTTCTCAACACGTGAACTCTCGATGCCTCATACGTACTCGGGGTAAAAGAATTTGGGCTCCATTTCGTAAGACGCCAAGATTTCAATATCTCAATAGCTCCCACTGAATGAGAGACTACTGAAATTTAAGCCTTGATAGGCCATATTTCCAACAGCTCTATCACCAAACTAATTTGATAACCAAGTAACCCGTACATCCATAATGATGTATATCAATATGTACCTGAGATATCCATATCCTAACACTCCCCGTTAAACTCAAGATGCTTTGACACAAAGCAGCTGGAATTTGAACAATATTAAATTGTCAAAAACGAGTAGTGATCGTCAGATTGGTTGAACAACATAAACGAGTAGTGATCGTCAGATTGCTTGAACAACATAAACGAGTAGTGATCTTCAGATTGATCAGATTGCTTGAACAACAGGCACACATTGCAGTGGCGGATCAACAAGCCTCAGGAACATCTAGGATCGAGTAATGAAAAACTCGTTCAATAGATAGGATCGAATAACGAAAAGAAATTCGATCATCTCACAGGATGAAGCAACGAAAAACTTCATCATCCAACATGATTGAATAACGAAAAACTCAATAATTGAAATATAGGCATCTAGAACAAATAGGATCGAGTAAACTCCATCATCACTCAAGATAGAGTAACGAAAAACTCCATCATCAAATAGGATCAAGTAACAGAAAACTTTATCATCAACCAGGATCGATAAATTCGATCGTTGCACAAGATGGAGTAATGGAAAACTCCATCATCAAACAGGATTAAGCAATGGAAAACTTGATCATCAACCAAAATCGAGAAATTTGATCATCAAATAACAGGCACTTGGAAGAGCCAACAGGAATTTGCGGATCATCAACTAAGATCGAGAAATTCGATCATCAAACAGGAGGCACTTGGAAGAGCCAACAGGAATCAGCAGTTACATTAGAGATGTTGACTTCATCTCTACTCATCTCATCTCCATATCTCTTATGCTTTCCCCCTCGAGTTCGGTGTTGATGCGAAAAACGCTCAACTTGCAAAATACATTTTTTTTTTTTTTGAATCAATAGGAATAAATCTATGATGATTGAAGAAGGATCTATTGAGGAGCGGCCTCAGAGAAAGTGCTCAAGGCTTAAACCATACCAGTGATGGCTCCACCACCACCAAACACTGCCCTTTTTTTTTTTTCCAAGCATAGTCTTTATGGACACCTCTATTTTGATATAATATGGTCCCTATGGACCACGTCTTTCCCCCCTTTTTATTTCTCCAAGAAAAGATTTACTTTCTCTCTCTTCTGGTTTTCTACTTTTTCCCTCTTCTGGTTTCATACTCTCTCTCTCTACTTCTCTAGAGATGGAGCTTCGTTTGGCCAGAACCTGTAGTGATAAACTCCCCCAAGCCAAACTGCAAACCGCTGGATGGGATGGCTTACAACGTTGACTTCAATTGCCTGAGATTTTGTGTCTCCGCCAAGTTGAGCATCAGATGCAGCAACGCAAGCATCAACAATCTCCTTTATATCTCGCTGCACCCTTCTATGGAAGTCTTTAAACATTGTAGACCCTCCAGATAATACTATGTTATTGTATAAAGCCCTCCTTGTATCAATGGGAGATGATTGGATGCACTTGTCCATAGTAGAAGGTAAAAAGGGGTGACGAAATCATTGCTATAGATCTTCAATGGTGTATCTTAGGGCTAAAAAATACCTCGGGACCCAAAAAAACATTCATAGCCAATGTCACATGACTATGGTACTCAAGTCTTTGTTTTTTTGATTCCAGTCCACTGCTTAATGTACTTGACGGTTCTTTGTCATGTTTGCCAAACTCTTTGACAATGTCAGAAAAAGTATAACAATACATCTTTTTAATGTTCTGTGCAACTTCCAAGGAGTTGTCTGGTGGGATATGCTCTCCTTCTTTCCGCAAGAGTTGCTGAATGAAGAGAGTAACATCTTTCCAGGCAATTGGAATAGATTTGATATAGAGTCATAAAAAAATTCCATCGGGACAGAATCTTGCTTTAATACCATGTTAAAATTTGTGGGAGTATAATAGAGATTGGAGAGAGAAGTAGAGAAAACACAATATTTACGTGGTTCAAGCCGAAATTTTACGTCACGGATTCAAAGCCCAACTGGCTACATCTTCATTATTTTTTATAGATGTTTACATCAACAAGTATCTCTCTATATATAAGACAATCACACAATTACATAAGATAAATATAGTATGATAACTTGATGACAGAGGTAAATAGTAAGAAGCCTTATCGTCAAACTAACTTGATGACCAAGTAACACATTATCCATAATGATGTATATCAATATGAATCTGAGATATCCATATCCTAACACAAGTTACCCTCCTCAGAGTTGAAAACCATGAACAAAAAGGGGCACTTCTACTTTCCCTCAACACGTTGTTTGGTTTGGTCCTCCTAAATGACAAAATTACTAAAAATATCTCTACTTGTTCAGAGTTTTCAACTCTGAACATCTACAATTTGGCTATTTTTGAGGTATTGTGAAGAGATACATGAGTAAAATAAAAAATAAAATAAACCCTCCAATTATAATTGGAACGTTTCGGCCTTACGATATTCTTTTAAGAAGTCATTGCCCCTTAAATGATGTTTTCCTAAAAATTTGTTGAATAAATATGTTAATGGTTATTGAATACATAATGAAGATGAGCATCAAATAGACGTCAACAAAATACTTTTTAAATTTGTTATCTTTCCCTATGTGCTAAACAAGTATACGGCTAAAATGGTCATATATTCATGTACGAACCATTTGTGTGGTGCCACACTAGTCACCAAAAAAAAAAAAAACAATCAGAGCCAAGTCTATTATTTTAGAGAAATTATCATTTACGGGATTGAAATCCCTTCCAAAATCATTAAAGGGGGTCAAGTTATCTTAATTGATATTTGAGGGGCTCTTCTTTCATTTCAGTTTCACATAGGTATCTCTTACAAAAAAAACCTTGAAAGATTCTCAAATTCCCTTTGCTCGTGGTTTACAAACTTGAACAATTAAGGGCATTTCAATAATTTGACCTCCAAAAAGATCCCAATTAAATAACAAAAATATCTTTACTTGTTCAACATCATAAATAAATAACACATTGTTCAATGTTACAATTAAGAAATAATAAGTACTTACATCATTTGATATAATGTGTTTCTTATTTGTAACTCTAACCAAGGAATTGTATTTTAACTATTAGGTTGGGGCATATTGGGTGACAAATTACTCAAATGCCTTTGTTGTTCAAGCTTCCAAATCATGAACAATGCCAAATATTGAGAATTTCTAAAATTTCTTAAGAGAAAGTACCTATGTAAAATGAAAATGAAAAGGGGATGCTTCTAATGTTAGTTGAAATCGTTTGACCCCTTTAATGAATTTGTAATCAACAAAAAGTTTAAACCTGAAATGGCAAAAACTTTTACCAACTATAAGGTTTTCATGCATATTTAGCAAAATTTAATTCGAATAACAGTCGCCCTTGGAACTTTCATCAAACTACGCATTGTCCTTGCAACCTGAGGAAGCTTCGAAATTACAATTGTATCTTGGCTTGCATCCAAATCCTAAAATGATTTTAAATACCCATACAAAAAACATATAATTGTGTAAGAATATATTAAATACTTTTCTGCCAAGGTTTCAGATCACCTATGTACCATGATTTCACCAATGCCCGATTATAGCACGCCAGATTTGTTAAAAACTACAAATGTACAAGCCTTTAGCCTCTGGTATGTTACCAAACATAACACATCAGACACCAATTTTAAACCGTAAGATTTTTTGTAACAGCAACAATCTCTCGCGTTGGAATATATTTCCAAAAGAAATTAAAAAAAATGACGAACATAAAACCAATTTGTCAAACAAAATAAAAAAGCTTCTTAGAGACGAACACATGAAAACATATAACATGAGAATTTACGACGTATAGAAGGGAAACTTTTGTAAATATCTCTTTTTTGCAGGATGAAAATGTCCCATTTTTTCATGGTTTACTCTCGTCCTTTTTTTGGGTTTTTTTTTTTTAATTTCCCTAAAAACTGTGAAGTTCCAAACTGGTTTTATTTTGGAGCGACATTTCTGTTTGGAACCCACATTTTTGGAAACTACGCAGTTTGAAACTTCAAGTTCCCAGCCCTTTTTTCACTCAAAACACATGCCGAACTTTATTTAAAATTCACTGAAACTTTAGCTGCCCAGGAACAAGATGTTCAAACCGCTTATTCCCTCAAAAAATACACATTTGTTCTCGATTCAGGACTTCGTTCGATTTAGGTTCCAAGCTGCTTGATTTTCAAAAAGTTGTTCAAAAGTTCGAAGTATCTAACCCAGGGCGTCTATGAAAAATGCTAGAAGTAAAAAAAGAAGACATGATTGAATATAGTTTATGAGAAGCACACGAATCAAATCTATCTACAGGTACCAAACTCTTCCTTAAGGTTGGCAATAGGTCGTAAACCTGAAATGTTACAGCACGGACGTACAAACCCATATAGAAGCACGCAAATCAAATCTATCTACAGGCACCAAGCTCTTTTGTAAGGTTGGCAATGGATTGTTAACCCAAAAAAACTACATGGGTGACAAAATGCAGCATGAGAGTTGGGCTACAGCCAGGTAAGAACAGGCCCTGCCCCGTTCTTTTTTAATTTTTGTTAAGAGTCCATTTGGCACCTCAAGCCCAGAAAAGGCCTAGGTCAGAGCTCCTTCGGTCCAGTCTTGGCCAGGCTAAGCTCAGACAGCCCATTGCCAATCCTACCTTTCTGCAGCTAGTCCTGCTTAAGAAACACATACAACCATAAGCCATAAAAGATGCATATGCAGTGAAGCGTTATGCTTGGAGCAATTGCCTTAAATCAGCCATTGAACCAGACGAATTGCTTACACTCATCCACTACATCATAGTCATCATAGTGTCAACACACAGCATACACCCCAAATCTTCCAACAAAATAGCTTTTTCGAAAGGCTTACAATATGTTAATCACGTTTTAAGCTATTGCTATAAATATGGGTTTCTCACAGAGGCTTCCAAAATGCCACTACAACATTACAATTTAAGTTGTGTATACGACAGAATCCCTACACTTTCTGGAGCACACACAAAGAGAAGGCACATGAAGTGTCATCTTTTAATAACTCAACGCCATATTCGAAAAGAAAGTCCATGGGATAATAATCAAATACTTGAAGCAGTCTAAGGCAACTTTGGCTAAAACAGCCACCACCCCTCAGTGATGCTGGCCTCTATGATTCCTAAGCTAGGTAGAGTTGTGGGGGTAAAGAAAGTAGCAGAGGGAGGGAGGAGATGCACAAAAGAACCCACCTATAACCCCTCACGCCCTTTTTGCTGCTGAAGAGAGGTGAGGAAGTCAGAACACTAACCGAGTTCCCTTGACCAGTGAAGCGAGGGGGCAGGCATGCACATAAAGGAAGAAGGCGAGAGAGAGAAAGAGATGTGGCGAGGGGCAATAGCAACTCCTATACATACTCTTACACATCAGGCTCCTCATAATTTAGCCTCTCTTTCCACTCTTTTGGGTCCCTCTCTAACCATTGAGATAGATCAATCGATGCATCGCATAGGTACTGAATAGTATGTGAACATATGCGCATGCATGTGCCTGTGTGGTGGATTTCCATGTCCACTTGATTTCACAAGAAACTCATTTTCTGTCCCATACACCTGAAATCCATAAAATGGCTGAAACGGAAAATAAGTACTGCCCTGTCCCAATTTTCAGAATCATATTAGATACAAAATTGTAAAAGATGTGAAAAGTCAACAAATCCAAAGATGTGAAGATTACCTGCTTAGTTTACCAGTTGATCAAGCGTAGTAGTAGCTTAACCAAACCGTTTCTTAAACAGTACATGTCGCTTATTAGGATCTTTTGGCTTGCCTTTGCCTTGGACCTGCCCTGGCTGTTTGCCATGCCCAGTTCTGCAAAATGAGGTGTGCCTCAGTGTTGTTTACATTTTACTTAATTTGCCTCTCATAATAATGAAATCAAAGAATAATAAATGCATGGAGTATGTGGTACCTGTATTCCATGTACACCCTCCCATTTGCACCGGACATAGCACTCATCGATCCAACAGATCGTCGAGCCTTTTGGAGAGCTATGTCGTCTGTATCTTCTTCTAGCTGCTCTAAACCAACAGCATCATCCCCTGCACTAAGCACCTGCAACATAATGTCTTTTTTAAAGTCCAATTTTATAGACAGATCGAAGAAGAGTTTAGAAAGTGGTAACTAGCCAGAATGAGAAAGCACCTTAGTGAGGAGTGCAAGTTGATCTTCAAGATGGTAGTAACCGAGTTCAGCTCCTGAACAAGGTGGAGGTAAGCTTGTGATTATCTGTTGACAATTTTGACAATACCTTAGTAAGCCTTCAACGAAACATTACAGGGTTCTTGGATAGTCAAGTTGTATCACTGTTGGAAAAACCGGGTGATCTAACCGCTAACCGCCCGGCTAGATCGAAACTGGCCGGTTCCGGTTTTGGGCAGTTTTGATGATGGACCGATATTTAAAAAAAAAATTAAAAAAATGTATATAAATTCCCAAAAATAAGGAATTTGGTTTGTAATGTATTTTTTAATATTTTTTACATTATGGTAAAGATTAAAAATTGTTTTGGTCATTAATACTCACTTTAATATTTTCTTATCCTTTTTAGAAAACATTTTGGTCATTAAAATCCATTTTTTTTATTAACTTTCAACCTCATTTGAATGTGTTTTGTTTTAATCATTCTTTATATACTTTTCATATTTTAGTAGTTCTTTTTTTTTTGTATCTTTTTTATTTTTTCAACACTTTTTTTATCACCTGGGACTTGCCCAGTTAGAACGGTTGAATTAGCCGGTTTACCAGTTAGGCTGGTTAAACCGCTTACGGTCCTTTGTCCGGTTAATCGTTTCGGTTCAATTTTGCGAACACTGAGTTGTATATGAGGTGCATCAGTACAAGGATCTGTCTGTTTCCTTAATTTTTTTGAAACCGTTTTCTGTTTTTCTTAATTTCCATAAAATATTCGTTGTAAGAACTATTATTCTTGAGCAATGCAGCATACTGAAACAGCCACAAGCATGTGGCGCCAATTTCAAATAGATTCCATGAATCACGGTTCAAACCCTCTAGTTGATGCTATACAATTTTACCAATCAGTGTTCAAAGACAGTCAAGTCACCTCAGACTTGGCTAAGTAAGTTAGCCTCAGCACCCTGCCGAGGTGAGTTCATGTGCAAACCTCGCCCTTCTTAAAATCTCTTAAAAAATTACAAATTTTATTGAACAATTAATTTTATAATATAGAAATATGTTTCTATATGATTTTTAGGGTTTTTTATGATGATTTTCAAACTTCTCTATTTATTTATTTTTTATGATATATTTGCGAACCCTCTAGTTGATTCATACCTTAAAAATATTTTTTTAGGGTTTTTTATCTTTTTACTTTTTTTTTGAAATATTTCAAGGTATAAATCAATTTTGCAATAATCCATCTTTTATAAAGTTATCTTTTATAGACTTTTAATGAATTCTATTACTTATTTTAGTTTTAAATGATTATTTATTATTTTGGTAATTTTTTTATCTTTGTTTTGGATTTTTGGGCCTATTTGGTACTGTACAAACCGAGTAACTTAGGGAAAGGTTTGGCTATGTAGAATTCCATGGTATAAATTCAAAAATTTATTTATTACTAACTGGAATTTCTATTTACAATTGCCACAATACAATATAGAAGTAGAAAAAATAAATCTACTGCAATCTACGGTCTTTTACTTTTATTGCCAAAATAAAACTTTATTTAAGGCTGAGTTCAAAACTTCAAATTTAAATTCTAATATAAATAGGATTTCTGGAACTAACTACAATCAAGAACTTCTAATATAAAATTAATAAGGAAATGTACGCAATGAGACCATTTATTTTTTATACAAGAAAGTCACAATCATTATTGACCATTGGATTTGAAATTGGGCACAATGTCTGAAATAAAAACTTTCAAATGTTGTGACATATCTATTGGATTTCACAACCAATGGCTAAAAATGATTGTAACCTCCTTGTACTAAAAATAAATGGTCTCATAGTATATAATCCCAATTAATAAATTAGGTTACGAAGACCTACTAAACTTTCCCTAAGGTCACCCCTTAGGACTAAGTGCGCCCCACAACCGATTACCACATCGATGGCACACCTCTTGAACCTTTGCATGCTGAATTCTATAGACTGGGAAGCTCCTTAGGAAATACCCTCCAGAGAACTGGGGTTTGAGAGCATGACATAGGTCTAGGGTTTTTCTAAAACCTCTTAGAGGATGCCATTATGTAGAACCACCCTGCAACAATGTGGTTTGAGCCAATGCACCATATACTATTTAGTTGCCTATTAGATCTATTAACCAATATGTCATTTACTACGTATTTACAAAAAGAATGGTTTATATTGTATATAACTTAATTTTTTTTCATTTTCTTTTAAAAAAAGAGTTGGTCAAATAATATTATTTAAATTATGGCAAAGATTAAAAAAAATTGTGGTCATTAATACTCACTTTTATATTTTCCCATCATTTTCAAAAAAATTTAAAAATATTCCTAGGCACAAATCGATTAGTTAAAATCCATTTTTTTTCAATAATTTTCAACTTCATTTGAGTGTATT